GGTGGTAATTCTTGAAGAAAGAAACCAGGAACATGGTTGGGGGAGTATTTTTGAAAGAGGAATCTATGGTTGCCACTGTCACATTACTTTGTAACTTTTCCCTTTTTTTTTGTTGCATTTATTTATTTCCTCATTGTATTCGATAGCTGCACTGCCCGTTCTATATTTCGGGGTGTTTTTAGAAAAAGTGGTCATTGACATCTGATCGGAGGACAACAATTTTGTTCTGACTTATCAACCAGTGTAAGTAACTTTAGAAAATGCGATTTTAAAAAAATTTTTGTTGTAATTTTGGAAAATTGTAAATCGGATATTTTTTTTTAAAGTATTATTTAACTTAGTTCGAGAGATGCAAAATACGTTTAACTGCGAAAAATGCTTTAATCTATGAGCTGGGATGGATGATTCTTGATAATAATAATAAAAAAAAAAAGGCTGACATAGACATTTGGTAAATTTTTGTAGCTTTCAAATTGGCAATGAAAATGCAACTTACAAGCTATGTATTAGAATAAACTTATTTGCTCCACAAAAAAGTTTGCATTTGTATTAATGTGTGTTTTTATAAAAAAAAATAAATAAAAAATAAATAAACATTTATTATCACAAATTTGGGTTTTAGTCATTCACATGTTTCACAAACCTATTTTTGTTAATTTTGCCAGAATTTAAAAGTATATATATATATAACCAAAACCAACCTATATAAACTTATGTGAAACAAATAAACGCATGAAAAACCAAATCTTTTATATTCTAATTATTGTGTGGCACAGTGATAGAATATCAAGAATAAAAAAAAATTAAAGCGTAGATTTTAGAAATGCTTTAAAAATTATGCAAGATATTTTCACTAAAAGCGAGAACAGTAACAGAGGATTTAATTATGGTTTAATAACTTGGTTTTGTAAATAAGTTTACTGGTATAAGTATACTTTAAGGATAAGTATACTGGGTTATACTGAATCCCTCTCCCCCCCCATGAAGTCCCAAGCATTAAGATCCATCCAGAAACTCTATTTAGATAGAAACAAGGTTATGTCCCACTCCAAACTTAAGAAATTCAAGAAAAAATGCTAATTTTTAATGACCTTCTGTCTGTTTTAAACATTGTCCATGGCATTTTGGCACTATTTCCATCCCCATGGTAAGATAGTTTGACTTATTAACTCACTCTTATTGTTTTCTTTTTCTTCTTTTTTTTTCTCTAACTTTATCTTCAAAGATTTAATTACGTTGTAAATTTCAAAACATAATAAGAATAATCTGTAGCTTTCCAGAGACTGACAGAACTGCAACCACAGGCGCGTTTCGTGACACTAGTAGGAAATACTATCCATATTATAGAATGTACTTTCATAAAATATGGAAATAAATATTTGCAAAATATGTTCTTGATAGGTATTTGAAAAACATGTGTGTATCTCTGTTTGTTTGTTGTGTAATTATTATTTTTTATTCACTGCGAAAAAACATTTAATGTTACTTACATATATTGATATAGCTTGGTTTAAAAAATGAATTTCTTTTTAAGTGGTGGGAGGTATGTGTATGAAATTCTATTATCAGTTTCAATAATGATAACACTGCCAAGTAAATAACATTGATCACCTCACATTTAGAGTGAGTATCATGATTATCAGAGTAAGTAAAACTATTAATTTCAACAATGCACTACAATACGTGTTAAGATGAGCGACTTCTGAATCATTACTTCAATGGAGCAAAGAAAACTATTCTTTTCTTTCTTTTTTGCTCTTTAACGAATCTTTCTTTTTTTGTAAGGGGAGGTCGTAATCAAGGTGTAGGAAGATATGATTTTGCGTGATCACCACTAGAGCGATAAGCAGCGCACACTGGTGACATGCATTGCGAGCTGTAAAAAAAGAAAAAAGAAGAAGAAAAAAAATAGAAGAAAAGAAGAAAAAAAAAAGAAAAGGAGCAAACTCGTTGTGTGTCGAAGGCGGGGAGGGGCGGTACTAGGAAGATGAATTGCTGTGCCCTTTGTATCTTTCTTTTCTTCTCTTCTAGCCCCAACTCATGTGGGAATATAAACTGACTAAATAGGGATATTGTACTTATTTACTTCAATAATAAAAAAAAAATGTCAACTTAGATAATATTTTAATGGTATATATAAGTGCTGAAATTACAATAAAATTATCGCTGTCAAAACTATAGTTTTTAAATAGTGTGAACTGTGAATTTATTAGTATTAGTTCCTTAAGACCACCTAATAATCAATGCATGTTCAATAAAATACATTTGCATATCCCTTTGAAGCAACTGGGATACCGGTGTCCCTTTTATATATCTTTTTTCCTGACGATCTAATTACAAGCGAAATTATATTTTGGTATTTTTTAATTATAAAAAAATGTTTAATAGCTACTAAAAAGAATCTGTTAAATTATCGGAATCATATTTGTACTAAAATACAAAATCAAAAGAAAAGAAAAAAAAATGCTTGAACATTTTTTTTCCCATTCATATTCAAAAATTTATCAGTAATTGCTTTACCTAATTAAAAAAAAATTTCAATGATAAATAGCTGTTTCTTTTAGATTTTTCAAAATAGCAATTTGCTGAAACAAGAACAATTTTGAAAAATTGTTCGAAAGTGAGCTGAGTTTGGAAGAGTAACGCAGAAAAAATCACCAGTGTTCCATGTGCACTAATTATTAAAATGCAAAATTTTTCATTTATTTTATATAAATTAATATACAAATAAATAAAAAATACGTTTAATAAAAATTCTGCTTTGAAGGGGTAAAGGAATGTAACGCGATTAAAAGAAGTTAACATACAATGATTACAGTAAACAGTACTATAAACTGATTGTAAACTGTAAACGTATTGATTGCATTTATTATTATTCGTTTATTTTCCCAAAATCTTCTAAGTAACTGCACTTATTTAAGTTTCATTTGGATTGATATTGATTTAAAAATAAAAATAAATACATTAACAATGTTTTTCTATCATTATTTTAAAATAGTTTGCCAATCTCTTTTGAAAATTAGAATTAAGGAAAATATTGAACAACAATAAAAAAAAATGCTTATGAACTGTAATTAATCAATTGTAGTAAAACAGTTCATTCGACGGGTATTTTAAAATACTGGTCTATTTGCAAAGTCCTTTCATTAACTGTCATTAAATCTTCAGTTAAAGTTTTTATTCAACTTAAAGATTATTATATGTTACAGCATTGCTCTGTTGGCTGCCGTGTTATAAATGAAATGTTCCAATTCATTAGTAATTAAATCCAATTTTTAATTATTAAAGTTTATATTCAATAAATTTTTTTAAAGTTTTGAAACTGTTTGATTTTTTTTTTTTATTTTATTGCTTTTACATAGGTAAAATTGCTCCAAAAAAAAAAAAAAANAAAAAAAAAAAAAAAATTAACAGCGTTCAAGCGGTTTGCTGGCCGAAGACACCCCCGTGTACAAAATAGTGACTGGTCTACGCTAAATCTGTAGGAGTCACAAAGTCCTCCAAGTTTCCTTAACAAATCAATACTTCTAGGAGAGAGGTGGTAACTCAGGGAATAATAGAACGTTCTCCTTCCAATTTGTTGAACTTGGTCCGATTCCCAGCGATGGCTGGTCGATACGAATTTCGCACTCGGCTCGCACCGCTCACAGTGCTGACGTAAAATATCCTCAGTGGTAGATGGATCATGGGTTAGAGTTCCCTTGCCGTTAGGCTAACCGTGAGAGTTCTCGTGATTTTCCGCTCCATATAACTGAAATGTCGAATAATTCCATCAAAAAAGTCCTCCACTAAGACAAATTTCTCCATTTTTTTATTATTTTTTTTATTATTTTTTTATTATTATTTTTTCATTTATTTATTATGCTATATTTATATATATTAATTTAAAATATAGTAATTTTACAACAAGTTTAAACTAATTAAAGAAATTTTTTCTCTAATAGCTGCATTTTAATATTAAAAATATCCATAACAAACATTTTAAATCTCAAATTTAATACTGTATTTTTGTGTGCATAAAGCGACTTTAATTTTTAAGTGGTTAAGTTCACAAAAGATCAAAAAAGATAATTAAATAAGTACTTTAAAACTGCATAAGGTCTTAAAGGGATAAAGCAGCAATAAAGGTATAAAATTCAAAATTTTATTAAAAGAGATAAAAATTAGCAACTTTTGGTAGCATATTATTTCACGTTTACTATTTAAAGTGAATGCAAAGAATGTTTTCGGTTTAAATTAGAAAAATTTGGAATGTAAGCAATAGTGGTAGTAACAATTGATTGATTAGAAACATAGTAAATGAATAAAAATGAATTTGTTTTCTACCACTTTTTTTAATCTCCTGTGCCATCTCTGAAACAGGAATTTTTTAACATCCAAAACGCTGAGTTAAAGATTTCCTAATGCGATAAACTGTCCTTCTATATATTTGTTTTATTGCTTCCGAGATTGTGGTAGGCAAAATTCTTTTAATTCTAATTTTTTAATCATCTGTACATTGCCTGAGAAAGTATGGAAAATACCTAACTACAGAAAAATATTTTTTAAGACTACGAAAATTTCCTTAGTTGTCGGTGGGTTAGATAACAACTAAAATCTCATTAAATAATCAATCAAATGTGCTCAATTAACTTAAAAGAAAGATTCTGTTATAAGCCACTTCATATCTAAAGATTTTCGCTAGCTCAAAAATACCGCACAATTAAAAAAGAAAAATGAAAGAAAGAAAATAAAGCGTCACTCCTTCTCGTGCGTCTGATATTTTGTAAACTTTCCCTCAAAACCCAATCGAATCGGAGTTCAGTGTTGTTTTGTGAAGCTTTGCCTAGAGGGCGAGAATATTTTCATTCGTCGTTTAGTCGCCGATGAGTGAACATTGAGCGATCGTTTGCGTTGCGTATTGCAGTGATAGTTAGCGCTCCCATGTGTTTTGTGCTGGATGTTTATTATGGATTATTTTGATAACTGCTACAGCGGTAAAACATTATTGTGTGTTGCAGGGGATGGGCCGTGATGGGGCCCGGTCATTTTGGCGGCCCCGCCAACGCCCCGATTCCAGTTCTTCTTCATCTTCTGATTATCGTCTGCTGTTTGACATTAGGTAAGTAACCTTATTAGTCTCAATTGTTACCTAAAATGTTCAGTGTTTTGATTATCGTGATTTCTAACTGCTGTTTTTCAATAGTGTTTGCAATCCTGGAAAAAAAAAATTTTTTTTACATGAAGTTTCACCAGCATATTAATTATTAATGCAAAATTTATTAATAGTTTAGAAAATCGTGAGAAATCCAAAGTTAAATATTGTAAAATTACGTAGATTTCATCGTTTTTTTTTTTTTTTTTTTTTTTTTTTTTTTTTTTTTTTTTAAATATCGTTTTAATTATAAATGGCTTATTTGCAAAATTATGTAAGATAATTTTATTTTTTCCTTCCTTTTTTTAAGTATGTATAGGAAGAAAGTGAAAGGATTTATTGATTACCACTGGTTTTAAATGGGTATTATTATAATTATATAAACATTCATAAGTAAATATATTTAGTTATATCGAGAAAAGTAAACAATAGTCACGTATGGTTTAATTGTCGGGAAAAAAATAGAAATAATAATAGTTTCCCCTCCATTCAAGAGAAACCGTGTTTTAAATTTGATATGTGATAGTTTTGTTTCCATATTTTACTCATAACACATTCAGTTATAAATTATAGTTTAATAAATTTTAACCTAATTATAAGTGTTTGTTTACTAAATTTATATCTAGATGGAAAGCTTCTGACTGAAAATTAGAATGATTTTGAAACAGCGTAATGCGTATAAACGTTTTTTCCAATAATTGTGTAAAGCTATCTTATAACGGTGCATTTTCGATTTTTTTTTAATCATTACAGAATATTATTATTATTATTTTTTTTATTGCTTCCTAAGTACTGTTACAACTATAATGTATTTTTATAAGTAATGTTATAACTATAAATTTATAGTTGTGCTGGTTGGACAATTTAAAAAGCTATTTTTGTTTTAAAATATTTTTGTTATTGAAATTAACCTTTCCTTAGGAGTGTGAATGTAATAAATAAATAGGTAAAAATTAATAATTGTTAGGATCGAAACATTGTTAACATAGTACTAAAACTAGGAAAATTTGATTGTTATACTTTTATCTGTTTACGTTTTAAAAAGATAATGTAAATTATAATTCAGAAATGCACAGTAATTGTTATTGATTTAAATATTAAACAAAACAATTCGAAATATGCGTCTAATATTGTATAAACATGAGGATGTGTACAGTCGTAAGAAAACTTAAAAAGTGGTTGCGAAAGTTGAAAAAAATTATATGTAAATATCAATAGTACGTTATCACCACTACGTTTAATATTTCCAAATAAGTTCTGACAAGATGAGTGGGCAAAGGCAGGGTTGCCATGGGCAACTAAAAGTGAAGAGCCGCCAACTGTCTACGCTTTTTGTAAAAATTTATTTTTGTGATTGCTAAGTCTATGTTTTAGTATATTATTTTTTTATTCATTTAAACATATTATCCCCGCCACTACATATAAATAACTTAAAAGCTCGTATGCAAAGCCACTTTGGTTTTTAAATGTGTACTATTTATTAAAACTTTGCAAAAAGCGTATTTGTTAGTGTGCAGGTATGAAACTGCAAGATGTGATGACTAATAAAATTCAAAACATATTAAAAGAGATTAAAATATGTTTCCTAGCATATTTTCAATTTACTATTGAAAAAGAAAGCAAGAAATGTGTTTGTTTTAAATATATGAATAACTTGAAATGTATAATGCTTGAATAACTTGATACTTTTAGGGGAGATTTCCGTATGAACCATCAATAAGTTTTGGTAGCAAGGTTTTTTTTTTTATCCCCTCCCCAGCCAAAAAAAAAAAGAAGATAGATATGGAATAGTTTTACTACCAGTTTTTTTTTTCCCGAAAGTTCAGATTTATCTTTATCGTCATTAAACAAGGTTCCATAGTTAAGTGGTTTAACTTCACATCAATTTTAGTATCTAAGTTAATCAGTTGTGACACAGACATTTAATTTGCAAATATTTTTGGTCGATGGTAATTAGCTAAAATATTTGTTTTCGTCGATTTTTTTCAATCAGTTTTTAACTGTTTTTGAAAAGTGGCCACTCTGTTAAGTAAATGTGTATTAGAATGTTCTTTTTTTTCAATAGCGTTACTATGTTTATGTTACCTTTTAGTTATTCTACTGCAAGATTACTTAGTTTCTTTTTCCTATTTATCGTCATTAAATTTTTTTTAGTTTGTTTATCGTCATTAATTGTTGGTTTTTCCAAATTTTGTCAGCTTTCGCAGTCTTGGAGCTTATCAACTTCTTAACTGCTTGATTATTTTATTTTAAAAGAGAAAAAAAAAACGAAAGAAAAAATGAGTTTCAAGTAAAAAAAGTTTTGCACATTTTTTATTTTATTAAAACGCAATTTGTGAATACCCCCTTAAAATATTCAGAAAAAAAGAAGGGAGGAAAAAAGAAAAAAATTAGACGGGGGAAGATCTCTACTAATCTATTTCAGGGGAGTTTCTCCCTTATCTTTCTGCCTTTGGGTCTTTCATTTACTTCTTGTGAAATACAATTAACACTGCATTTTAGCTATGATGAGAAAATAATGTTTTGATTATAGATTCCATGATTCAAAGTAACTTTTTACTTTGAATTATAGATTTTTTTTTTAGTTTTATACTTTTTTAATCCTAAATTTCGTAAAAATTTATAACTTTGACGAAATTAATTTGTATTAGTTTAATTTGTAATATATAATTATTGAATGTATGAACCTTTACAAACACTTATTTTTTAAACATTACATTTTCGAAATTTTGCATCACAAGTGCTTTAGTATAATATATTTATGTCATTGGTTGAATGTTCAAGAGAAATAAAAAATTGATTAAGAACTTTCTAGAGTAAATATCGCTCTTTGTACAAATCAAAACTAAGTAAGGAAGAAAAAAAAAAGTTTAATTATTTGATATCGATGAACGTTCACATAACTAAACAAGTTTCATTATTCGAAATTGATAATTTTGTAAAATCGAAAGGTTCTCAAATTTTTTAACACTAAATTGAAAGTTTGAAAATCAATGGAAGATAGTTTGGTAGTGCTTTGGTAGATATTTTAGCATGTTTAGCGTTTATGTAGACGATATTGCAATTGTCTCATAAGATATCGTAAAATATTTATAACAATAAGACTAAAATTCAATTTTTTCATTAACTTGTTAAATTTAACTTAACCCTTTCACAAATACGTGCCAGCATAAAATCGTATCAATCAGGGTAAAAAGATAAAACTGGTAATCAAAGTATTTCTTTAGCAGTTTATTTGTGGGCGGAGTTACAATTGTTTGATTTATTTAATTCACCATTACTTAGTTCAAAATAAAACTAGTATTTAGTTATACTTTGACTTAACATTGATTATATATATGATTAAACAAACAATAATTAAAGTAAAAGCAAAAGTAAGTCTGTCAAATTAGCAACGATTTCATTTAAGTTACCGTTTTTCATTTAATTACAACTTGATTATGATTTTGTACGAATGCTTTTCTGAATCCCCCGTCCCCAAGGGGTTAAGTCATCCCTGCCAATAATTCCGGATTTTCCGGAAGATTTTATTTTCATATTTAAAGTGGTAGTAAATACATACTATTTTTTTCTTTTATAAGCTTAATTTTTAAATGATTTTGATCACCACTATTCTTACAAAAATTTAGCACATATATTAATATGCGTTACTATCTGGTTGTCAACTTATGTTTTTTCAAATGCAACGTATTTGTTTGCTGAAAATTGAAGTTTTAAATTCATTTTAATACCACTGGGAAAAATGATAATGGAATGAATTAAAAGTTGGCAGGTATGGGTTAAGTATTTCATTTCTTATTTACTAAGTCGTAACAATGTGAAAGTGAATTATTCCTTAGAAATACTAGTGGTAGCTTTAATATCAATTTTTTTTTTTTGTTTTTTTACTTTATACTTATTTTGGTCGTTGGTCGATGTAAATTTGGCATGGGTAATAAAGGCGCCATATCTAAAAGCTTCAAGCATGATCTTTCAAACTGCGCCAACAACTTGGCGATGTAAAATCTTCAAAAACATTTGAAGTTAAACGAAAGAATGTTTTCTTAAGATTTAGTATTGACTATTTCCATAATTTTGTAAGTGTGAAACAATTAAGTAACACCGTATTGTGTTTCGATTCGATTTTCCTTCATTGATTTTACATAAAGTGAAGATGAACCAAATTATTTTTTATTCCTTTTTGTCTCTGGTGTTACTTTGAATAATTGAGAAGACGATATCACTTATTTTATGAATGATCCAGTATATAGGGGTCGCCAAGCGCGTGCATACACATCATTCAGATAAAAATAAAGGACGCGCCAACACCGTCGTTTAGCGATGATTTGTCGACGAGATTCTGAATGGAAGTATACTTCCGACATCTTTGGAATGAATTGTCACTAAGTTAAGAACATAGCTCATAATTTTATCTTTTAAATGAACTATTTCCGGTACTCATAATCCATCTAAAAAGGAAGTCTCTTTTGTACCCCATTCATATTTTCTTTTCTCCTATGTTCAACATTCGTAAATGACGCCAATGAGGGACAATTTAAAAACCATTCACAACAGACTCTGTTATACATAGAATTAATATAATAACAATTAGAATAAATAAATACTTTGTTTTAATAATATTCTAGTATTTAATAATATTTGCGTGAAAAAATTAGTTCAAATTGGAAGAAGATTTTCTTGTTTTAACGTGTTGGACAGTTCAATTTGTAAAATGAATTTTAAAAATTTGATATTGTTGGATGATTTAAAAAACCATCGGCAGCTGCCTCTGTAACACAGAATTAATATGATAATTAAAATATGTAAATTGTTTATAAAGGGATTCAATGTGTGTGTGAAACAATTTATTCAAATTGGTGAAGTTTTCCTCGTTTTAGCATGTTACCGTTGAACTATTTAATGAATTAATTTTTTGACACTGACATTTAAATTGTAAAATGAGTTTACATTGTTGGACAATTTAAAAA